CCCCAAAACCCCAAAACCCCAAAACCCCAATTATGGGTAGAAATATTGAAGTTCAATAAAACTTAATTAAACCTTCCTGACCTCGCCACTTAAGTGTACTCATCTAGTGCAAATATTGACAAAACATTGAATTAAGCAGAACGAATTTCTAATGGAACAGTTTTCTGAACAAGATACTGATAAGAAAGACCCATTCCTGGAGCTAAACGTACCTGGTTGCACAGCTGCGGATAGCTATTCCCAAGAAATAACACAAATTCTGATGATAAAGTCATCAGAGGAATCAAGAGCTCCCAAGAAACTTCCAGTGTGTAGCCAAGGTGCAACTGATGATCTATTCCAGCTGGATAGTATTAAGAGCGAATCAACTGAAGAGCTTGAGATTTACAAAGAGTTTCCCATAATAATCGTTCATAAAGGATATATCTTCGCAAAATGCTCGATAAAGCATCTGAGGAACTTAGACGACCCATCACTTCCCTACAAAAGCCCTAAGTTTGAGAGATATTTTAATAATGGAACCCTTACTATCAAGCAAGCGTCGGATAAATTTAAGGTGTTCGAGAAAAATTTTCAACCGATTGAGCTTCACAAAATCTTCCCAGGATTTGAGTTTATTGGACAAAGAGTCACAACCCCGATGGTCTATCTAAATCGAGAGAAGGTTTTGAAATATGTTACAAACTTATTCATCCAGAGAGGAAAATGAAATATAAGAAGAGTCTTCCTGCATCTCAGGCAAAAAGCATTACGAAAGACCTATTTGGTTAAAAATAATGTAAATATCCTTCAAATCTTGCAACAAGTTGAAAAAGAGCTCAATAACGCTCAGATTGTACAGGCAGAGCAAGAGCAGACAATGGAACTTCAGCCATTCGGGAGAAAATCAGTGTTGTTTTGGAATAGTTATCTCAAAAGGCCTGAGCATGCTCTGATATTTTACTCTGAGTTCCAAGAATATCTTCTCCAACAAAGTGTAAGTACCTCTGGTTCATTATTATAGGTATCACGTCAACATATCCAACTTGAAGTTATGAGACATTGAGCCCCTGAAGGATACAAATGAATCATTGTATTGATAGTATGTGATGCTATCACCAATAATTTCTATCCAGCTGCATTTGCTGTGCTCAAAACTGACACAAAAGTATGAATTTCCACTTAATTTATAGGAAGCTTATACAGAAGTACTCACAGCTCTCAAGAAGCAATTAAAAGATAGCCTGAAGCCTAGAATAATAGTAGCTCCCTACGATGCATCATTAATAAAATCATCAGCTGCTGTATTTCCTAATGCTCAAGTCACAACCACGTTTGTTCATTTTGTACGTTCTCTTTGGAAGGAGGCTACTCGTCTGTTACTCAAGAAGCGAAATTTAGTCAAGAACACGAAGAAGATAATCAACGCTATTAAAGGATTGACTATCTTACACCCAAAGAAAGTTTCTGATAAGTTTGATGCTCTCAGGAGGAAGATCTCTCCTTTAGTCCAGAAGTCATGTTCAAGGTATGGAGATCTCCTTAAATATATTGACAAGACATTCATCCTGACTCATCTCAGCGATGCTGAGAAGAGAGGCTATGTCAATGCCTTCCCTATAAACTTCTGGAATATCCTACGATGGAAGAAGAAATCTAAGCTTCACACTATTATCAATATGGGTGTTGAGAAGTGGCATAATGAGCAACCGAAGATCTTTGGGTTCAAGAATCCCTCACTTGACCAGATAATCAGCGCTTTCAGAGACTTTGATGCCACTAAGAAGATAGAATTTGAGTCAACTCCTAGGGAGTTCTCTGAGCTCCAGGATACTACAATCGAGTGAGGCTCTGATATCGTTGAATTTGAGAAGAAGGTTGGCATTGAGACTGCCTACTGTATTCAATCACTTAAAGAAGACCCAAGAGCCCAGAATCCTCTCTGCCTTGAAAATCCTCCAATGTATGTCTCAGACGACGAAGACTTATGCAACAAAGACGAAGATGAGGAGCAACCTATAGACCCCAAAAAGGCTTGAGTTTCAGACTCCACTAATTTTGGAGATAAAGTTTTAGCTTCTGAGCAAAAGAAGGAAGCTAAAGTTATTCTCAAAACCCCTCAAGTCAAGCTTGCTGAAGAAAAAGAGACCAAAAATGTTAAAAAGATGCTTGATAAGCAAGAAAATGATGAAACCAACGACACTGAGGAGAAAATTGAGAAGAAACGTGGAAGAAAGAAGAAGTTTTCAACAGATGAAAGACCTGAGAACAACCACTCAATCACTTCCTTCCCAATAGCCCCACCTCCGAAGAGACTTGAGAAACTTATCACTGATGATATGAGCATTGAAGATTTATGAAGGAAGCTCGACATCGAAGAGTGATTGCCAATCCTACAAGATAACAAAGTCACTGTAGAAAATTTGAAATACCTCGAAATGGGTGATCTCAGAGAAATGAAGATCCCCATAGGACCAGCTAGGCAGATCATCAATGAGATCCAAAACAATACTCACAGACCTCCGGTTAAGGTAATCGCTTCTTTACCCAAGCGGAAGAGAGGACCGAATAAAATCCGGCCTCAAGAGACTGAATTCGAGAAGAAAGAACGGGTCAAAGAAGAGCGGAAAAAGAAACGTGACGAGAAAGCCAAAGCAAAAGATCACAATTTAGAGAATAATTTTGAAGACAAACTTGCCAGTTTGGTCAAGATTAAACCCATAGAGAAGAAAAGATCCAAGTCTATTGAAGAAGAGTTCAAATTTCAAGGATCTCCTAGCGACGGAAATATTCTTAAACATCTGGTAAAGAAAAAGAGAGATCATATTATCAATCCTCCTCAGAATGAGAAGGAAGATAAACAGAAAGTGATGGAAGAGGTTACCTCATTGATTTCAGCAAAGCCGGAGATCAAACCTGAAGTTAAAAATGATCTGAAGCCAGTACAAGAAGAAAAAGAAGCTGAACAAGAATGCTCAAGTCAAGACTCTCTTAAAAGTGATGAGCCCTTCCTGTAGTCTAATAATTTTTCAATTAAATATCAAAATATTGGGGTTTTGGGGTTTTGGGGTTTTGGGGTTTTGGGG